TTTAATGTACTGCATTGCTTTCTTATGGGAAATGTAGATTCAATCGAGTTGGAAAATAAAATTTTGAGTTGGCCTTGGTGGTTGCAAATCACTTTCAAAATATTTTACTTGATAATTTCTTCTTTCTAATTGAAAAGGTACATAGAAGTGCATCTAAAAATGACTTTCAAATATATCAAATATGTTTCAAGCATTTTTCCATGGAAATGAAATTTTATGGTATTTTATGTGTTTCTTACATAAAATTAAGATAGTACACTCCATGCTTTGGTAAGATGACGAAAGGAAAAGAAAAACATCCTAATCAGGGGACCGACCAAACAAAATGTTTCCACATAAGTCTGAACATTTGTACAAGTGCACAGCAGAGTCAGTCAGACACAGTGAGGGTTCTGAGGTTGTCACGCAACATGACAATGTGTCACTGTCCATGATCCAGACTTTTATTGTGAATGAGTCTTGGCTCTACTTCATGTTTGGGTTTTCACAGCTGGACATACAGTAGAGCCATAATCCACACAATGTACTGCTCTGTTTCTTGTTAGGACTGTAGCTCAACATTTTTTCTTAGTTGCATAAACTCACATTGAATATCTAGTTGAGTCTTTGCTGAAGCTTCTTCTCCCAGCTCATTTTTTGCAGAGCAGCGATAGCCACCGCTATGGCTGGGATCAATATTGTCTAAAACCAAGACTGGGCCGGTCTCCTGATCCACTTCACCATCTCGGTACCAGGTGTAATTAGTCACTGGAGGGTTTGAACGGCTTCTACATATCAGAGACACAGAGCTGCCCTCTACGACTGGACCGGATGGTTCAACAAGAACTGTTGTGTCCTTTGGAGAAACTGCAAATACAAACAAGAATCAGTCAGTTTTGTTTTAGGTTGTGGGAATACTATGTTGTGTCTGTATGTGTTTTACTCTGACTTACACTGCACATCTATAGAAGTGATGGAAGAGTTCTGGCTTCCCAATCCATTATCGGCTTGACAGAAAAACTGCCGGTCAACTTCTGTTGCTGTGGTGGAAAGTTTATTCTTAAATCCAACTGCTTCCACTTGCTCACCATTAACTTTGTACCAGGTGTAGTTGTCCACCTCTGGATTTGCATTGGTGCTGCAGCTCAAAATTACCAAACTGCCCTCTAATACTGGACCAGAACCACTGACTGATGTGTTGCGTGGAGGGTCTGGAAGGAAGTGAGAAATAGGAAATACAAAATCGACTACATATACATGTTGATAATATGGTGTTTTTGGTAATAATAACTATTCCTCTTTTTACATCCCTATACCAACAAACCATTAAAAAGTTTGTTGGTAAAACCTTTTTCATGAATTACTTTGCTTTGAAACTGGAGATGATCCAATAAATTTGTGATCCATGGATCTTTGTGCGCCCTTAAGGAAAATGCAATATCCACCTAATCAAAAAGGTATGACTGACAGTATCTTTCATTTAGATAAAACTGATAAAACTCCAAATTGGTAGGTTATTATTCCTACTTTTATAAACACAATTCACTCTAGATTATATTTTGAATTAAAGAAAAATAAAACTGTTCACAAATGGATAAATAAGCTGTGATGTCTTTCATTTCTTGTTTTTTATACTGAAAAATGAACTCAAGATTTTTAAACAATTTTTCTCACTCTGTAATGTCACTTTTTATGCATGACTTCAGATTTATAAGCCGACAAAATATTTCTAAATAGATTGCAGTCAAAACCAGAAATATACTCACAAAAAACGTGTATAGTCAAACTTCTGTCATAGACAAGGTCACTGTACCCAACTTGTCTGTTGTAAGCAGCACTGCAGGAAAATTTCTGTCCATGGTGGAGGTAAGAAACATCAAAGTTCATGACAGAGTTTAAAGATTTTGCATCCATATTCTCCTCGATGTCCCCTAAACTGGGTGTCCATGTCACAAGTGGAGGAAGAGTAGGACAGGGGACAACAGCTGAACAATTCAAGGAAACTGCAGTGCCTTCTTCAACTTCCAGCCTAGGGGGAGTTATGGTTGGCTGGGGGAGTGTATCTAAAAACATAAGACAATAAGAAAAAGCTGCGGGTCATAAAGAAAAAAAATATAGCTTTTCATGGTTAAGCCTCAACTAAACAGACCTTTAGTGGTGATACGAACACTTTTTCTAAAGTTAAATTTCAGTGAGTTGTCACACTGCAATCTGAAGTAATAGTTGTCATAGTGGTTAGATGGCAGGTTGGTGAAGATGGTGGTGCAGTCTTTGTCACGCAGATTCCCAGTCAGGTTTCCCTGCAGGAGATTTAAGCTCATACTCGCTCCAGTCAGGCTGGAATCAAACACCTGCGTTTGGCTCCAGCTGCCTCTCTTCCATATGGCTTTACATGACTGGTCCAGGTGTTGATCCCATTCAGAAGGCAAGCTGAAAGTGCAGGGGATGATCACACAGGATCCACTCAGCCCTTCTACACTCTGAGGCATGAAGACTGACCATTGCTGGCAAAAGATGCCTAAGAAAAAACAATGGGTCCATCAACATAGGTTCAACAACTGCAAGGTTTCAACAAAAGAAAAACTTTTATTAAAAACATGTAATATGAAAAATCTTACCTTGAAATGAAAAATATATGAACAAAAGTTTTACAATGATCATCATTGGTTTTGTTCACGTTATTGAACCTAAAATGAAGTAGTGGACAGAAAAGTATCGAATTAAAAAAATTGTCTTATTTTTTTGTTATTAATTTCCAAGTAACTGAAATAAAAGTAAGGATTAGCATTATTAATTCAGATGTTTATATCAAAGCATTGCAATAATAATACTGTGTTACATTAATCTGTTTGTTTTAGTCTGATAATTGTCTTTCATAGGGAGCCACACCAAACTTTGTTTTACAAAATAATCAAAAATAACAATTGAGTTATCAAAACCTTTAATTGCTTACAATGAGATTTGGGCAGAATTATGTTTACTTTGCTAGAATCTGCCCACAGATGTTACAAAAATGGTTCTCTTATAATTAAATTTTTAATAAATAAATACAAAAACATTCAGTAAAATACTATGTCAAATCCAAAATTAACTTTGGTGGTATTTAGCAAAGTTTTTCTATAAAAACAGAAGAGGATAAAGCTATTTCACTTTACTAGCGAGTTAAAAAAAGACTGTACTACTTTATATGTATTTAGTGGAATCTAATATTGAAACAAATTCAGAGATTTACCAGAATTGACTTTGTGATGTTTCCAATTCAGCGAGTGAGTCTTGCCAGTCTCCTTACGTGTCTGTCTGGACGAGACATGCAGCTGTGCTACGAGACACTGGCAACCAGAAAACAACAGGGTTTTGATACAGAGTCCACTGGCTGACACATTTTCTTCAAAGCTGATTTTTTTTTTCCCCAGCAAAACATAATTCTGACATAATATTATCAGCAGTGAGAGAAAGTAGAAAGAATGAACCTCACTCAAAAAGAAACTGTAGGACAGATAAACCTTATAAATTACGATAAAGCAGAGCAGTTAAAATCTAACAATGATACAATGGAAGTTTAAAAATTAAAACTTATATTTCAGCAAGACAAGGTACAACAATGGTCAATAAATTAGGACTTGCTTTCCGATGGAGTTCATTTGTCAAATTAAGTTCTTTTTTGAAAATAATCTGTAATCTGGCATTAAACATATTTTTCATCAAGCTAACATTTCCGCTTATGAAGATTTTTTTTTGTTGATGTAACATTTTAATCTGAAATGTCTTTAGCTGTAAGTGGAACAGAAACAACAGTTTGAAAATAGTCTGTGAAATTAATTTATATAATCTGTTTCAATTAGTGAGTAGAAGTACTTAAATTAACTCAATTTTCATCATTATTAGTATGACTATAACTGCTGACCTACAAAATACACATATTTCACAAAGAGAAAGTATGTTAAATACCTTTAAATATGTGAGCAGCAATTGTCAGAGAGGATGGGTTCAAAGGAAATACAAACAAAAGGAAGAAAATTTCAAAAGCTTGCATGATTGAGGTCAAAAGATTTAAATTCACGTCAGCAAGAATCTTAAAAAAACAACAGGAAATTGCTTACAGGAAAATGATTTCTTAACGTGTGCAATAACGTGAGGAAGTTCTCAAAAGATCAGGAGTTTCACAATTTATCAAACTGATGTACCTTTATATTGCTACTTTCACACTCAAATTAGTGCCAGCAGAAATATGAGGATTTAGTTAGAAAAAAACTCACTTCTGTCTACATATGACTTTATTAATAATTTTGCATGTCACAGTGAAAACCTAAACATGAAAAAAACAACTGCCTGTTGACAGAAGTATCAGGTTCTATTTAGGTAGGAATACTGTAGTTTTGGTTAAACTATGTTTGGATTTACAAGCTTCTTCTAAATGTGACTGTCTAAAGAAATTGGGTGAACTAGAGTGCTCCCCAGTATGGAGGGAGAGTTGAAGAAAAAAAGAAAAACATTCAGGGCAGTCTTGAGTGATGGCTTAAGATGGCTGGTTGTCAGAGTTAAGGGTTTATCAAACATGCATCAAAGAATCAAAGTAATACTCCAGGTATATGTTGATGAGGGAACAATATTACAACGCTATATAAAGCTAAAAAGTAATTTTACATAAATCCCCCTTTAATCTACTGGTATGTATTCACAAAACAGTGAATACTCAGTCAGGCTGAGTATTGATGCTGACCCTGCCCATTCTTTAGTTATCACAGTCAACTCCACCGTCCCCAGATCATATTAAGGCATATCTATGAAGTTCCCAGTAAGAGTATATTTTCCTGTGATATTTAGCATACCTCATATGGGTAATGGACTGTTATCAGCAATGTTCCTGTGGAAGTGTTACAGGTGCATTCATGTTAAGATGCAAACAAATAGGAAAGAAACATTGAAGAAAAGATATCTTCCAATTATTTTTCATGACACCATGGAATTGATCTCACCATTAGCTTTCCAAAGATGCTTCAATAAAAACAGACAAACATGAGCATTTTTATAAAAACATTTAATGTTGCCCTGATACCAGAGTAGTTAAATTTATCTGTAAACCAAAGCCATATAAACCTCAATATAATAAATAATCTTTATAACTTCCATAACATTCCTTTATCTGAAAACAAAGGCAAGGGGTGCATATTACTAAGAGATCACCTCCAGTGTAGTGGCATATTAGAACAAATGTCAGCCTGTAAGAGCTGGTGGTTTTATTGTGCATGTTTCTGGTATCACTGTGTAGTGTACATTACTCCTGTGATGCTGGACTGTTACCAGCAGGGGGAGATAAAGATCCGTGAAAATCCTCCCTGTAACAGACAGCTGAGTCACCATGAGTGAGTCCTTTAAAGATCTGTGTTCTGAGCTGCAACTGATAAACTCCTATCAGTAACATTGTCCTCCACGACTGACCCATGGCACCTCCATGTGGATATTTGGTCTTCTGAATCCACACCCCAAGGCACATTTTCAACAAACATACTGCCCAGACAGGAAAGGGAAAAAGAACCAAAGTGGAGTCCATTCAGTAGCTTCACTTCATTTTCATGTATTAAGTCAATAGCGGCTGTGCTCGTCTGTTGCGGTGACAATGACATCCATCCAGATACGCATAGACACGGCATTGGAAGCCACCAGAAAGAACAGGCGATCGTATGTCTTCACACAGAACGTAAGGCTGGGCCGTGGTGACTATACAGAAGACAGAGATATCAAGAGTCAGCTCACTGGCAAGGTTCCCAATGACTTTACGGCAATATTGAGACTTTAAAACACAAATATTTGTTAGAGCAAAACTTTACAACTGACTGCAATCAAGCATCTGCAATGTCAAACTGAAGCAGGAAAATCCTGTTTGTCTGCTTTCCTAGAAGTATGACGAACATCTTTCCTCAGAAATGTGGAGGATTTTATGACAGAGTGTCGATTAAAAAAAATAAAAATAAAAATAAAAAAAAAATAACTGGTGGCTTGGTAAAGAGCAGAATAGGACTTAAAGTTTACACCTTCCTTAAAAGTTAAATATCTTTGTTGGACATTCGGGCTACCGTTATGCTCAACATAAAAGTAGTTTTATGTTGGACTAGACTTTTGTAGTGTAGAGGTTTAGTTTATTCTGTTAAAATTATTTTGCTTTGCAAGCAAGATTGCTTTTGGAAAAGTTTAAACTAGTAAAATCCTCTCATCTAAAAAAAGTAAATATTTTTCTGAGCTACTTTCTTTTTCTTCTGAGATCACATTTTTTCTGAAAGATTATGCAAACATTTTGAGGTTATTTAGAGATTAATGTCCCAAGAAAATATGTTTTCAAAATGAAAGAGGGGTTATAGCCTCCATCTAGAAATCAAACTTTACTGATTTGGTGGATCCAAATGGTAAATCCCAAAAACTGCAACAGATTTGAGAAAGGCAAACTCACAGAGGTAGCTGTTCGTAGATGGTCGTAGTAAACTTCTTCTATAGCCTGAAAGTACATGACTCCCTTTAGCTTTCTCTCATCGCAGTCTGTAGATAAGGGAGAATCAAGTTTATAAATAAATAAAAAAATACAAAATACATTTTAGGTTGACATAGTGTCTTTCAAATGTATTAAAATGTCTTGAACTTTTCAACATTTTGTCACCTCAAAACCAAACTTAAATATACGTGATGTATTTTATTTAATTGAGCAACACAAAGTAATGTACAACAATGAAATAGAGGACTATTTCATTGTAGCTCTGTCTGTAAGCTGAGGATTATTTTTCTGGTGAAGGATGAACCTCCAGACCAGTCTGAAGTCTTCTGGAACCAAAAACAGCTCCATCTTCATCTTCTTGTCAGCTCCGACTGTGAATCTCTTGAACATTTCCCAAATTACTTTGTTGGCTGTTTCTTTGTTAAATACTCTTGATACTTTATCCGTTAAGGTTGAGATTCAAATCTTGGTAGGTGTGAAATTATATATTTCTCTTTCTTTCCACATTCTCATGATTGACTAAACAGTGCTCTATAAGATATTTTTTAAGTGTTACTACACTTAAAAAAGATATCCCTTAATCTGTTTGCTGTGTTCCTTGGTCTTCATGATGCTTTTGTTCACCTATGGCGCCATATGTAAATGTGACAATTTTAAGAGTTTTATTCATAGTAAATTTATTTATTACGCACTTATGCAAATGTCAAAAGTGCTACAAAATGGCAATAGGTTATTTGTCAGTTAAAAAAAAAAAAAACTACTTTCCTTCTACCTTAAAATTGTTCTTCATTTTGTATTGGCTTTCCACATAGGAACTCAAGTTAAAAACACTGAAATTTGTAGATGTAATGAAACAAAATGTAAAAAAGATTGCTAGGGCAAAAACACTTTTGCATGACACTACATCTGATCTTAAAATATGTACAGTAACAGATGGTTTCTCGTGTATTTTTACAATAATAGCCTCCCTTCAGTGAGCTCAAATTGTGTGGCACACAGAAGCCTTTTATTCATGCAAACACACAAATGTAAAGTCAATGAGCAAACATACACACACAAAACTTTGAAAGCCAGTCTAACCTGTATAGTAGGCCAGTCGTTTGTGGTCTGTGTCAAACAGGAACCATCTCTTCTTCCATGTCTTGACCCTCCCCCCTCGTTTTGTGAGAAAGCCAGCACACCGTCGAGGTGTTAGCCGCAGGTCCGTGCAGCTGGCAACCCCGTGACCCAGTGACTCAACATGGGCCCGAAGGTCAAAGTTTGGAGTAAGGAAAAGGGGCAGGCTGTGCTTCTGGAAGAAAAAGTGGAGCTTAGTCATCCTGTAAATAGTGCATTTTCCATGGAAAACACTACTATCATCCAGTAAATTCTTAAAACAAATGCACTTATTTTTGAACTTAAGAAAGGGGCTCTATGTGTTCACATAATGAAAAGTTTACTACATTTGTATCAAAAATATGATACAAGATATGGTCTTAGAAAATAAGAGGAAAAAATTACATTTTCTTAGCCACGCTACATGATGAAAAATATTTTATAGATGTCACTAGACTAATTCAGAACACCTCATCCATTATCTTTTTTATTGCACTCATCTTTACTGCTCTTTTACAGTACAACAATATTTATTCTATTCTAAGAATGAAATTTCATTATCTTAATGTGAATGACTCACTATTACAACAAACAACATGAATGATTAAAGAACCGAGCAATTTTCAGCAAGATCATTTATCAAGAAACTGGGTCAACATTAAGCTCATAAAACTGACTTACATGGCTAATGGGCTTGGTTTACTTATTCTCATATGTAAAGATGGGATTTAACCATAACAAGTAAAACATGGAAAAAAAAAAACACTAGCATTTGTTTAGTTCTATAGCCACAATTTCTCAACTTTTCTAACCCAAGATTTAGGGTTTATGATTAATTTATACCTCTGAAACTGGTGATGAAAGGACTTGTATGGATTCATTTGCTTCTGGCCCTGGTCTTTGTTGTGTTTCTGATTCTAGTGGTTCTTCTCTGGAGGAGTTTACCTCTCTTTGACTTCTTTCTTCCAACAACAACCGCTGCCTCTCTGCCTGTGTGCACACAGTCAGAAAAAAAAAAAACTGTAACACATTAAAATGTACTATTTTTAAAGCAGCAAAAATAGAAACCCATTGGTTATGAAGCCACAAACAACTGGAGGTTTGAGCTTTCCAGTCTTGGCAGCTGCCAGTGCTACGAACATGCATTATAGGCATGCAAACATCTGCTCAGTGGTTTCTTGGACAATCATGCGCAAACTTAGCTGGTGTCACTGATCAACAGGCCATGTCTAATATAGTGTGACACTGACAATTAGTGAGTGTTTCCCATGGCAGGTGACTCACTCGTTCTCTGAGAAGCCTTTCTCTTTCTGCCTTGGCTTCCCTCAGCTTCCTCTCAATCTCCACAAGATCCAAAAGCGATGGACTGCAGAGACAAGAATCATGAAGCATCAGAATTAGAGAAAATAAATAAATGAATAAAAAAAATAGCAATATTTGTTCTAATTAAAACAGCAAAACCCCCAAAATTACAATTTAATGAAGTGTTATCAAGGGACATGCAGTCAACATCAATCTAGAAAACAGTCAAATAGAAAAGTGAAAAGTGTGTTAGATTTAACCAATATCGTTATTCCATTACTTTGTAGGAAACAGAAAGACAGTTAAGTGCCTTTTTCCAACCAATATGACTTGCAAGGCAATTTCAGTAAACCGGGCTATTCCCCAGTTTATTTAAAACATATTCGTCATGTGTCTGTGTTATTGTCTTTGTAAATAACACATTCTTTTGAAACATGTTGTTTACTACAGTTTTTTTAAATTTATTTTAATAAACAAACCATCAGTAATACTATCTACACCACATTGATATCAGTAACCTCTACATTTTTTACAGATAAGTTACAAAATACCATTATGTTGAACTTGCAGAAGTTGTTAAATATAAATATGCCTTCATTATTTGGAATAAAACTGACCCAAGTTATGCATTTTTGGAATTGAATTAAAAAAATAACCTCATTACAAGCAGTGATGCATTATTCAGAATGTGTTCATTTTTACTTTAGTGATAAGGCATTAGGGCAGTAGCTACCCCTGTTGCTTGTGCATGCTTTTGGGCTACACTTTGTCCTTCTGCACAACTTTTATTATCATGCTAGAGGACCATGTAAATTAAAACAATTATCTTCTGTGACCTACCCTTGGGGAGGGTGTCAGCAGTCTCGCCCATGATGTTATGGATATAATTTATGGCGTTATGCAATATTTAGGCTTCCCCCCACCCCCCCAAAAAAATAATAATATTGGGTTTTAGCTTTACAATATCACTGATATTAACAGACATATAAGATATTTGTGATTCACTTCTTGAACTGAGTTATTAAAGAAATGCACAACCAAAAAAATATTTTCTGAACTTTTTTTAATTGTGGCCAAAATATTAATCTGTCCAATATAACAGTCATAGTGCTCCTTGAATAAAATATCTGGTTGGATATTGTATTATTGGCATGCATCCAAAATCTACATGCCAATAATATTTTTAAAATACTGGATGGACTTTTACTGATGAAAATGCTTATACATTTTTAGTTACCGAGATGCTAAATCTAACATATAGGGTTGAAGAAATGTAAAAAGTAAAAAAAATGTGGATAATCGGAATCAAAACTCTCATCACAAAATTCAGCTATGCTATTACATTTACATGTTTTTCTAATATCGTGCAGCTATGAAATAATCATTCATACACCTCATAACATGCTTTTACAGTAAAGATTACATATGTACAACTGTTGCACCCTCTGATATGATAAACATTTCTGTAGGTATTGATAATAAAAATAATACATTATATATTCAGCATTCTAATGTCAAAGAAGTGCTACATAGGTACCCATCCAAAAGTATCATATAGATTCACATGCAGTGATGAAACCCACCTTGCAGCACGAGAGTTTGCTTCACTGTTGCACGGCGTGAGCAACCCACCGCCATTGCTGCTCCCCGGTCTGTGCCCGTTGCTTAGTCTGTGCGAGCTTATGGGGGAAGTGAAAGTCTCTGTGGTCTGGCTGTCTGGAAGAGTCCTCACCAAACCTGATTGTGGAAAGAAATAGAGAACCATATATATTTTTGTATGTGAAAATAAATAAAATGGAGAAATCTGGGGCAACTCCAATTAAGAACTTTAAATTACCAGTGAGGAGAAAAAGTGGAAAATGGAACTTGGAAGACTTGACTTAACAAATTAGGCGATACAAATATTTGGAGCACAAAACCAGATATCACTCTGGAGATTTTAGGTTTAAGCTCTCAGTTGTTTCTATATGACATGGGAGACTCATGCTCTCGGTCTAAAGACACACCTTTGATTTGACTAAAAGGGCCCTCCCTTAGTGAGAGCAAACAGACAAAATGAGGATACGAGTATAAAGTGAGCATGTTGATTGTCTGGATTGTCATGAACTACAAAAGCAGGAGCACTTAAAAACAAAACACAAGGCAAAAACAGAGTTGGTAACTAACCCTGCACTGAAATCGGCCTGTCAGAAAGCCTGTTGTTCCGATGTGAGCTTCGCCTTCTTGGTAAACTGGCGGCTTCCTTGGACAGTTCCTAAAGAAGAGAATAATATACAGTAAGAGGATCATCACATAAAATCCCATAGAAAGATTATAAAATATGAACAGATGCATTACCATAATTTCCAGATGATCAACAATTTCCCCTTCTTTCACAACTTTTCAGTTGTTTCAGCAGTGAAGCTTATCATTCATAAGACAGATAAATCAACAAAGACCTAACTAAATGCACACCTGTGGAGACTTGTGAGGTGTCAAAGGAGAGAGTGACATCATGCACGGTGCTGAGGTGGTGAAGTTTGACCAATCAGTGAGTGGCTTCTTCTCTTTGGAAACCTGTTGGACCAGATTCAGTTTTGAAAGTAAGGAACGGATATGAGACGGACACTTGTTACAAGAAACGAATATTAAAAGTCTGCTTAAAACAACTGGAGACAAAAAGGTTAAAGATGAAAAACAGATTGCCTTAAAAAAGATAGACATCTCACATCTGGCTTAGAATTAAACTACAGAAACGCATCCAAGATGGATTGGTCATGATGAGATTAAAAAAAATACATCACAGCCAGAGTGTCTTCCCTGAAAACCCTCCCACCATGCCTGAGTCACAAAAGCATGAGCAATTCAGAGACTACGTTCAGTTCACTGTTTAACCCTCGTTGGCCCACTTCAGTTCTTTACACAAACACATGGTGTCAGGAAAAGTGTTGACAGTAAGTATTTATGAGAAATTGTATGTTCTCACAGTAAGTCGAAATCTGCTACAATTCTTCCTATGTCCCATTCCTCAACAGGGTGATCCAAACAGATTAGCCACTCATGCATCATTTTCTATAAGCTGTTTAGCTTTTCACAGCCACAAAGAATTCACAATTTAGACAAGGATGTCAAATCAACCACATCCTGCACACATTCGTTCATTCTTTCTGATAATGTCTCATTTTCAACTCCTCTACAATGCCACTCCCTTTTGCTATGCAATTCTACCCTCTCTCCCCTCTTTAGCTGACATTATGAAATAAAAGTTTGGTTTTAACTCCTATATATAACAGATTTGTGTTCATTCTTTTGGCTTACCCTTGGCTGCAAGGATTTAACACTTCTCTCAGCTTGGTTCCTCTGCCTTGTATGGATCCACACATGCTCAAATCTACACACATAGAACCACAGCTACCACCCTCGCACTGCTTACTCCTCCCTCTGCTCTTACCCTCCCTTCGTCCCTCCTCCCTTGCTCTCTCCCTCCAACTTAAGTTTCCCTCAGTTGCACTTTTTTCCTCTAATTTTTTTTTAATCTTGTCTCCTACAGCTGATACTGTCATGACTCTTTTTAGGTGAAAACTGATGCCAAAAGATTTTAGCCCAAACACTTAAAATATTGTTAAATTACAGATTTTAACAATACTTATAAGAAAAAATGAACTGTAAGTTGCAATACAGTGTTTTATAAAGAATCAAAATGAAGACTCAAAAACAAACAAGTCTGGCTCACCACCCACTGCTTATTCAAAACGAGGTCACAAATTTATCTCTCTATGTAAAGTAGGTAATCCAGGTGCAAAAAGTAATTCCCAGGTCAAAAGAATCATATATGAATCTCAGTAACTAATTGGTCTGATGTCAAAAGTACTGTAGATCCTACTTGATACTTGCAGATTATCCTGCACAAGTGATCAAAAAAAAGAAATATGCAAAAGTTTCTTCAAAACCGGATATTCCATAAGACAAACCTAATTCTGACAAACAACAGTTTGTTTTAAGAAAAGTTATCAAATATAGAATAGTGATCATGCTCAAGTCTAAGAAAGAAGCTAAGGAAAAAAACAGCCTTTGAAAGGCCATTATATAGCAATGCATTTAGGTCAAAAAACATTTCAAAACAAATACATTTGTGCATTTTTTTCTAGCTTGTGTCAAGCACTGTTGACATTTAATGAGCAACTAAAACACCTAAGAACCTAAGAAAGACTTGCAAGGACTTGCAAGTCTTTTGTGCAACTCAAAAAATGCATGTTAAACGGTAAACAATACCTAGGCAGAGTGCACTTTGGCTACATAAAATGTAGATTATAAAATAAAATAAACTGAGAAGTTTATGAAAGAGTTTCAAACAGCACAGAGAAGATTAAGATGCTTACACTTTCATTGTAAATCAGTTTTTGTTTTTTTTATCACCAGCAATTTTTTCCATCACTTGCACAAAGCCAATTTCAAGCTCTTCCCAGCATATTATAAAGCACCATTCTACAGACCACCAACATTATTTTGCATTAATAGTAGTTATGGCAAAATGAATCTTAATATCAACAGATATGTACAATAAGAAAAATCCACAATATTAGAAAACTCTCATACCATTTGAGTTGCATTTATTAGTTCTCTCTTCTCTTTCCTCAATGCATTCAGGTCTCTTTCCTTCTCTTTCTCCATCTCTTTCAGCTGTTTCTCCAACTGCTGGACTCGTTCCTGAAAATTCAGGGAATAATTTACATCAGCTTGGACTGCCAAACGGATTCCTCTTCATAGAAGACATGTAAGTTTATTTAGCTGGGTTTCAATAATTTCTCCAAAAGGTTGTCATCCAATATTAGAATAATGTACTAAATGTACTATTAAGATCCAAGTCCACTTTTACAAACAGAGTTACAATAAAAAACAAATAAGAAAAAAGAAAAAAATAATAATTTTACAAATTATTTGGGACACCACTGGAAATAGGCACACCACCACCAAGTATAACAAATAATAAATAAAAGCCAGAAAGAAGCCTAAAAGAGTAATTTAAAGAAATATTGGAGTATAATTTGCCAGAGTAAGAATGCTCTGTGACAGTATGAAGCAGACAGACAGCCCTGTGCTGCTGGCTGCAGTGCAGCTGAGTCAACTGCAATTCACATCTCATACAATCCCAGTCTTCATCTCATCGCTGCACCCCCACCAACATACTGAGGCTAATTGTGGAACAATTCATCATTATGGAGCCCAAATATGTTTTTTAAATGGATTTCACGAGGCAGTGGGAAAGCACATTTGTTGCCTTAGAACAATGTTTGCATCCAGTGACAGTTTTCAGCATTTTTCATGACAGTGCACAATGTTGTGTTGTACTTTTACACTAGGTACAAGACTGTAGTAGCCATGGTATAACTCACACAAAGTATGAGTTACTATAAAATATCATTTAAAAGCTATGGAAAATCACTTTGCCAAATCAAAATCAAATTTACTTTGTTTTGTGTGACATATAATATTCATATTAATAAACTGTCAAAAGGCAAGTAATTCTGGAAACACCTGGTGATATTATGACTTGAGTAACACACTCCATGTTTTTTTTTTTAGAGCAAAAAGTGATTTTACTTGAAAAAGAAAGGGGGAGCTAGAGAGCAATCCTAGAGATCTATCAGGCAAAGTGTCTTTTTGGTCTAGAATCTATTTCATTGAATCAGAGATTGGTCTAGAATCTCTGATTCATTATAAAATAATGAATCAGAGGGAGACTTTATAGATATTTCAGAGCAAAAACTAAATATTACGTCATTTTTTATCCAACGCTAGTCAGTCTATACTTTGAACATCTGTGTCTTTTGTATTTGTATCACAAAAGAATATGAGGAGTATTTTTACCTTTCATGAGAAGCTTAAAATCCACAAACAGGTTGTGTGAAAAAAAGCAAAACACTCATCGTGACTCACGTGACTGCCAGTGGAACAGTTAGTGAATATTTTGAGGTAAAGTATAAATATTCTGCACACATAATAAAATGGCAAAAATGTATCACACTATTGAATGAAAAGATGAATTACAACTCAAATTTATTAATGACAGCTTCAAAGTAAAATTTTGTAGGCATATAAATAAAAACCAAACTGTGCCAACTGTTTAAAAATGCAGAATATTTTATATGACAACCTTTGATTGCGAGATTTATTAGTCAATAAATAACCTGCCTCTTTGAATAGCTTAGAAATTCTCATGTGAACAATTTTACTGTCTCAAAAAGCCTCACTCATTCTGTGCAAAACTACACAGGAAAATGTTTTACTGCCACCAGATTCAACAAAACTAATTGTTCTTTTTGAATTATTTTGTCCCATGGAGTCAAATTTAATTTGCTGTGGTCATCAATTGTTTGATTCACTGTGTAAAGAGAGAACAGATTTGGATACAGTAAATACAAATAAAATGTTTTATTAAAATGAGTGATTGTTATTCAAGATTAAAGGATATCAGGGCTTTATATCAATGTTTTCAATATGTTCAGCAAAAAACCGTAGTCTCACTTCAAAGATTTCTAAACGTTTTATCTTTTAATCCTTCTTCTTGTCATTCCACCTCTGTTTTCAGTCTATCCTGCTCTGATTTGTTCTCTCATGGTGGCCTGTGATTTAATTAGACTCCCTGTATAGACTCATGTGACAGAATTAAGGTGATGGTTGGAGTAAGGAGTTTTAGCCTGTGCCACCATTGGGGGTAGGGGTGATGAGTTTCGAGGAATAACTCATCCTGATAACCATTCCTGGGATCCATAGAAACAAATACCTATACGCTCATCCTATCAAGTCATCTAATCTTGGGCTTAGTTTATTGTGGGCAATGAGCAAATGGGAACTTGCTTAGCTGCAGAGTAAAAATTTATCAGAGCACTGCACTTACAAGCAAAGCTGTGATTATTGAAGGAGGAGTGCAAGTTTTTAACTTTGAAGTAAATTCTCTGATCTGCCTTCTGCTTATTTTTAATGTCATGCTAATTCATTTTAGCTGCAGAGAAATATTTCAGGCATGAAAGGAAAAAAAAGAAAAGTGTGCAAAATCGTCTTTTTTTAATGTCAAGTTTAACATCCCACTAATCATGACAATGTGAGCACAGCAAAGTACTGGATTTCAGACATGTATTGTTATAATTTTGTCAATTTTCCTTATGCACACATCCAACATCACAGCTCAGCCCTAAGTGGGAGTTTAAGTAAGGATAAGCACAGACACAAAGCATATGACTCACTGATAAGCTGCAATTTCTGTGCAACACTGAAAAAGTCATCCATGAGGAACACTAACTACCTGCGCTGTGTTGACTAGATGCTGCTGGCGGGAGATTTCCTTCTCCATTTCCTCCTCCATTCCTTCCTCCTTTGGTTTCTCCTCTCCGTCTTCAGCCTCTTCGCCAATGCCACTTTCTTGTTCTAAAACACGAAACTCCCAATCCTCGAAAGCCCGGATGGCTGACTCCATCCCCTCCTTCTCCTTCAAGAAGGGTAACAAAAAAGTTCACTTTTTTGTGAAATTGAATTATTTCTGGAATTAATTGGATGCAGTCTCGTTCTGGGAAGAATACTGAGTATTATGAGGAAAACAATAAGGAAGACACCGACATATACAGAAAAATGTATTACAATTTGTAAACCGAATAATGTCAGCTTTCAAAAAAATGTTATGATCCTTAGATCATCTATACTCAGTTGAATTTAAACAAATGTCACATTACAACCAAACACTAAGCGAGATTAGGTGACAATATCTAAACACAAGGTATGACACCATTCAAAACCAACCATGAATTGATGTTTACTTAAACAGCAGCATTATGGACAACCCTGCACATCACCCTTAGTCAGTAGTCTCAAACTGCATTCCTCTATGGCCAAGGTCCTGCAATTCTTTTTTTTTTCTCTTCTTAAGTGCTAATTCAATGACTTTGCATAACTTCATTATTAAAATTAAATAAGAAAGAATAAGATTCTTGCTTTAAGATTTGTATGTATGCAAAATTGTACAGCTGTCTAAAAATTGTTACTTCTGCTTATTTGCTGCTGGGTAGGACACCTTTATTCATGTATGCTAATTCTTTGTTCCAGCAGGTTATGCTAAACTGGTTGGCAACATTCAACATGTTTCAACAGAAGAAAACAAGCCCCACCAAACTTGTCGTTAAACTGCTTTTTTCCAATAATCTCTTTATTCTGCTCTGACAGATTTGCTAAAAGAAATACACATCCTGTTCTCTGTATGAGTGAGTCAAACTCTTAATGCATGTACACAGGTTAAACTGGTATTGAACAATCAAGCGTTGTTAAAACAACAACATTATCAGTATTGATGAAAACACACCCTTTATCCTGAGACATTCTTTATGAGTCAAATCAACCAAGAACCACTTGCAGCTTTATGTTTTATTTGGAAGGTTACCATTAAAGTGGAACTATTAAAACACTGTCAGCCTCCTCATCAATAATTTTTTGTAGGAATATAGTGATATTCAATTCCTTACACGACATTAAATATTTTAGTTAGATTTCAACAGATGGAAACATGTCATGAAACAAACAAATAATTTTTCCACTGAAAAGTTTCTGTGAAACAAAAGAACATGAGGATGTTTACTGAAAATAGTAAGAGATAATGACAATTAGATTAGCAGCATTCAGTTTTCACAATTTTTTTCCGCTCTGCATCTTACACTACATGGATCAGGTTGCTGACCTAGGATTTTCAAGTGAAGTACAGAAAACAAGCTCTTTATCAAAAATCTAAATATTTTAAAACTCTGTGAGAGATCAGGACAATACCACATATGACTTTCAACCAAAATAAACAATCATATTTTGTGCCGGTACCTGAATCTTGTACTCCACCATGATCTTATCGTCTGCCATGCAGTCATAATGATAAAGAATGAGAAATATTTTCACTGAAGGGAGGCCATTAACGCAGATTTAAAGATATCCCTACTACTTTTGTGAGTCCTCCACTCTCAGCCTCAGGTTTTTGTGACACATGGACAACTTTAAAACATTTTATTACTACTGAACATGCTGAAGACATTAGATAAGGTGCCATCTGCTCACCTGCTGCAGCTGCAGAGTTAGGTGCTGTCTTTGGCTTTCTGGTTGACTCGGGATCAGTTTCTCTCTTTCCTCACAACTCTTCTTCAGTTCCTCCAGCCTGTGTCTCTCCTTCTCCAACCTCTCTCGCTCCTTCATTTCCAGACACAACAACAACATACTAGACCAACAGCACAGTAATCCCAGATTTGTATAAAATCTCAATCAAAAACAGGTCACAAAACAGCATTCGGACAATTTCACAATCCTGCTTGCAGACACTCCATCACCCTTTAATGCTCCAAAAGGAGTGTAGCAGAGCGTTAAAGTCTACAAATGATTATCACTCAGCAGTTGACTTATCATTTACAAGATCTTGTTTTTATGTTGATGGTTCACTTCTGGTCCCACTTGTTTCTCAAGGATCCCTTAAGATAATTTTAACTGGTTTTCCTGTAATCCATACACTGAGAAAATACTTTCTCACATTGAAAAATGGTTTTAAAAAAATGCAAAGAAAATAATTCAGGTCCCATTATTAATGTCGGACTTACCTTAAGTCTGTCAGTGTGTTTGTCCTTCTCTCTTTCTCTGGCTTGTTGTTGCAGTGCCAGCAGCTTCTGTGAGTGTCTGTGCAGCTGCTTCGTCTCCGTCTGCAGCTCTCCTTGCAGCAAGGCGATCTCCAGCTGCAGCTGAAAGGACAAGAGAGCTGACCAGGCTAAATCGCATCAACCAGACGCTAAACCAGTCAGAGTCACACATTCTTTGACAATGACTTTAGGCTGTCTGAGAGCTTTCAGGATTTTCTTTTTCTAATTTTCTGAAATTTCCAAATGAAAGCAACTAATATTTTAGTGCTTCTTTAAACAAATATTGAGATTTAGTTCTCATTTTAGTTCACACTGTTAATACCAAAAAGTAACATTGATAGCACCTAAACATTTTAAACTAAGTTCCTCGATATTAACAAGAGACAATCTTAAAAAAGCTTCTCTCATCGTCCTGTTTTAACTTTACTTTTCAGAAAACAAAATAAATGAATAAATGTGAAAATTGATTCAAAAGTTTAGTTTCACTAGGACATTCTTAGAGAAAAACAATGTTGGAATTTCTCTTAAAAATACTCAGATTGTATTTAAAACAAGCAAGGGAATAAAATCTTTAGCTATCCATCTGTTGTCTTCCACTTATTCAGGGTCAGGTTGCAGGGGAAGCAGTTTAAGTAGAGAAACTCTGACTTCCCTCTCATCAGAAACTTTAGTGGCAGGGGAGAGTCTTTAATTTGGCAAAATATAAACATATCATATATTTTATCTATACTTAGCTCTATGATGATCAGAAAGCAAAATTAGAAGTGATAGCATACATGGTGTTCCAGTTTTGTTCCTCTTTTTTCTATGGTTCACAAGCAGGCATTTCCACTCTGTGTTCAACTCTCTCAAATGAACAGCAAAATCCAAGTGTATGGTCAGAGCAAGAAGGTTAAATTTATAGTCTCAGATTTATAGTGAAGACATGAAAGATTCCCAAATTCATTCTTTTTTAAGGAGAACTGTGTTGGGTTTTTGGTCTTACAGAGGCATGAGTTTGTCAAACACCTGTTCCCTCAAAAAGAAAACACTGTTCAACAATGCCAGAAGGAGCAGCACTAAGTTCAAATTTGTCATGTAAAAAGACACCATTGTGAAGTTCAAAGTCTTTCATAAACTCAATTCCTCTTATGAACTTGTTAGTTTGAACAAGCTAATGCACAACACTGCTTCAAACTGTCTGCTTTTGGGATACAAAGGTAATTATTCATCACAGTCTGTAATGATTGCATCAGATTCTCACCTCAATCTTCAGTTCTTCCTTTTGCTGGTTGATTTCTGTAATGCGGTTTTGAAGCATTGAATGAGATGAAAAGACCCTGGATGAGGCCACCTCTGGCTTCTTAAGGCAGGACTGACAATAAAGGAGAAAAAGAAAATGTCCAATGAATCACACAAATCACCCCAGTCTTAAGTCAAGACATGATGATTCATCGTTTTTGGCCTGAATCTAAAACTTTTTCCATTTTAAGATTAAAATAAAGTGAAACAGACTTCAATTTGGCACAAAATAATCTGACTAACTGCTTTTCAACCATCACAAAAAATCTCACTTTAGTCTGTTACCTTTTCACTCTCTGTGCTGCTGCTCTCCGTGTCAGACTCAGCCCCTGAGGAGGCGGGACTCTGAGATGCAGCCACTCTGCTGATCCATGGCTGCTGCAGACTCCGCTGCCACTGGCTCCTGGAGTTTTCCATGTTATGTTGGGGCATCTCTAAAGCCTGAACCCAAATAAGCAGTTAAAATTAGTTAAAGAGTTAGAAGAAAATATTATCTAGAATAAATACTATGACTTATCACACAGTAATGGTGAAAGCATGTGAGTAAATCAGGTATAGTAAGGGGTAATCACACAACAATTATGCAAATTGGGAGGTTAAAACACAGATATCCCCATGGGTTTCCAGAAAGAAGTCTCAAAGTCACACTTTGATGAGGAAGCAAAAGCAAAAGAGGGGAACAATTTCAGGATGTGTGCAGTGGTTTGTGGTTGCATTTCAGGGTCTCAGTGTGGACAGAAGCCTTGCATGCAGCAGTTTTACAAATCTGCAGGATTCTTTGATGTTCAATAACAAAGAGGAAATATATGAAAAACCATACATCTGACAATTACTTTGAAGTACTGTTTTCATAGGGCTTTTGTTTTGTCACTCACAATCATGTTATTCATGTGGATTTACTAAAGCAAATAGGCCTATCATTATAATATCATTATGTATTGTGTTTACCAACTGTTATATGAAAGTGACTCCCAACATTTGGGAATTTGTCCTTCTAAAAGCCAACATTATGCTGCGATCTTTCATTCCTTGTTGCCCTTTGGCCTCAATTGGTGCTTTCTGCATGCACAAATACATGCAGGCAAGCAGACACAAAATTTCAGTCTTTGTGACCTTCAAAACCAATATGTGGGAATTCTTGTGTTGAGAACTTTTTCCCACTGTTTTCCTCCTCGAGTGCTTCGCCCCCTCTCTCTGTTCTGAGATCAATGCCTTATTAGGCTGATGGCTGAGAAGGATGATTTAAAGAAGATAAATATACATTTAAATGGGATTTTCTAATGATGAACGGTACAATGACATCTAGAAAAAAACGGCAATGGACAGAGATCGTAAAAAGCAGTGGTAGTGTTGTAGGACACTCCCAGTGTACTACAACAGTTTTACAGGCATATAGATAAAGAATGATAGAGCTACCACACCAACTATTTACCGCCAACTACAAAGATAAGTGTGATGCGAACATATTTGAAATATGCTTGTTCGTTTCCCATTTGTCTGATAGAGTTATCGCTAACTTTAAGAAAAATATGACTAATGCAGCATAACAGAAAAAAAAAGTATCAATGCTACTCTGTGACTTAGACAAATAATCAATAAATGATACAAAAATGAGATCTAACTCCTTGGAAACAATAAATAAAAGACCCAAAATCTGTCTTTTTTATTTAATGAATAGATAATAACAGTAGTCATCAGGTGCAGTGTCAGTTCTGAGAGTACAACATAACCATGAGATTTTGTGCTTTATGTTAAAACACAAGTCATAAATGAGTAAAATGAATATCAAGATTTATGCATCTGAGTGGCATTTTGTCATACAGGTTTGGACTTCTGGATTTATTGCAATGTCGTCTCTTCAACACTGATTCAAATATAATCAGAATTAATATTAAAACAACCATATATTCACTATATAAAGCATTTTCAGTATCACATTATCATTTAAAAAAAGCATACACAGACCATTTTTACATGTTGTATTATCTGTAAAAAAAACACTCAAAACAGCAGTGTCTGGTATGTGTTACATAGAGACAAAGAGAGAGATAGAGCGAGAGAAAGCCATGTTGAGTCACATTATTATACAAATAGTACAAGTGTTTGACCTCCAACTAAAGTCCAGTTAGATACCCTATCAACATCCCATACAACAGGGAGTTATTCAGGGGTAAAGTCCACAGCTTGATGCTAACATACTACTGTGTTCAAATAAAAAACAAAAGTGTTAGAAGTCTTGACAGGATGCCCCAAAGACGCTCAAAAGAGTGAGACATTAAGAAGCGAAGTAAATATACCAAAATCAGCAGACACAGAGTTCAGCCTGAGAGCGAGATCAAAGAACAAAACAAAGTTTTGTGCCCAAAATTGGATTTGATTGCAGGGAGGGGTGCGCCCCTGGAGAATTAGATAGGAGAAAAACAGTGAACGGAGGTGCAGCTAAGCATCCAGTGAACAAGTTTGTGTGCTTGTCATGCAAACACAGCCTTAAGCAATCACAAGAAACTAAATAAATAAATAAAAAAAGGAATAGCAATAAATTCAGTCTTTCAGCAGATCCAACAAAATGTGAAACTGCTCATTTTCAGACTAATCAACCACAAAAAACTAAATCATCACAACAGGATTTAGTTGCCTCAGACAAGTGTGAGGAAATAACTAATGTAGGTTAAACAGCAGTAGAAGTTGAGAGGGAAAGAATGCTGTCGATGTCATATCATCTCACCATGTCCTCACATCAGCCAGGCTTATCACTCTTTCTCTCAACACCAGGCTTTGCACACTCCCAATATTACAGACTGCAAGATTGAGTTTAACTTCATGCCAAAGATGTTTTAGTAGGAGAAATGTTGTCTGAAAGAAGTGGTTTAATCTGCTAGTCCCTTCTTTCTTTTGACAACATTTTTGTGGTTAAGAGTAATAAAGAGAAGGCGGGTGGTAAATTGGAGATAGAGTTGCAGAATATCTCATCACAATTGTTACAGCAACAACAAAGCGTTGAATATCAAAATGGTTGCAGACACTGTAATAATGGAATAAAAAAGACACAGTAAAGTGAGATATCCCTAACAGTTTGTTAACAAAATATTCAGAGATAGTGTTGCAGTTACTCTGAACTACAGTGTGAATTAAAACACTTATTTTAAATATCTTAATTGCTGCCTACAATGGTGAGTTCACTTGTATTGCAGGATACAAGTGTCATTGCAGGATGTTGTATGAATCCAAGCACAACATCCCAGTGTAGTACTCATTTTAATTCACCTCAAAGTAGGTGGTCAAAAGTCTTTGATGAACCCCACTTTACTGCAGATAGGATTGTGGATTTGGACTTGGCTCCTCTTAATAGAGAAGTTAGAATACCAGGTTGGGAGTCCTTATTTTGCTCATTCAAAGCAAATAGATAAATAAATGTATAGATTCTTCAGCTTTAGCTTTAGCCTGATCATGATGTCAAAGATTGAGATGATGCAATTTGTATTTTACGTGACACATGAATTGCATAAAGAAAAAATTTTATTTTCTTACTTTCTGACATTAGATAAGACAAAATATTTTCTATTTTATGTTTCTTAGAATTCCCCACATTGTTTTTATGAGAAATAAACTCAGAAGTTTACATGCACTCCCTAAGTATTTGGCAACATTGCCTCCTGTCAGACTATTGTAGCAACTGTAAAGCTTGGGTTTAACTTTTTTGAAAATCTGCTTTTAGATTTCCCACAAATAGATGGAATTTTGACCCGTTCATCCAGACAGAACTGGTGAAACAGATTTGTTGGCTGCCTTGTTCCTACAAGCATTTTTAATTCTGCACACAAATGTCCTGTAGGACTAAGATCAAGGCTTTATGTTTTGCTGACTCCAAGTAACATTATAACTAACTTGGAGGTATGCTTGGAGTCATTGTCCATTATAAAGACCAATTCCTGTCTAGACTTCATGTTCTCAAATTCCTAGCTGACATCTTGAGGGTTTGTTTCCACATAATGTTCTTTCCTCATGATGGGATAATGTTCTCAGCCTTGCAAGCTTTCCCATTTTTCTTCCAGCTGTAATATTCATAACGGTCAAGACCATCAGTTAAGTGTTTTTCCTGAGAGAATTGGTAAATTGTATACATTTATGTTGTTTCTGGGGTAATGACTTCACAAGAAATTTGTTCTGCAGTCGCTGCAAACATTTTGCACCAAAACAAGTTCACCTCTGGGACATAGAACCTTCTTGATTAGCATAAAGGTTCAACATTCACATGGCATTTACAATTGCATTTCATAGTTTGAAGACATGACTAAAGCCAAACTAGTAGAGGCATAATTATCTCCCTGGATGATTTTTATTTTTTTATTTTTCAGTCAAACAAGCAAACATTGCCTTTGGGGTGGTGCGTTACAATGCACCCATAGGTATGATTTCAAATAACTGAAATATTGTGAGTGACCATATGAGGCCCTTACAAAGCAATTCAACATCCGCTAGGTCTTCCCAAGTGGTTTCAAAACATATCAAAAGAAAATGTCAGTGTCATTATTCTGGGATTAAACACATATAACTTCAGTCATTTTAAATGTCATAAAACAGGAGGGTTAAGGTTGATTTCATTTTAGACAGTGAGAACAAAAATGGCAATGCCTTTTATTCAAAGTATGTGAATATCTTGTTTCAACTGTACATTTAAAAGAACTGAATGTGGGAAATTAGGTTTTGTTGTCATTGTTGTTAATCATGGACCAGCAAAGTTAAATATTAGAACATTAAACAAAATGTTAATGTTCATCATGTTTTGTTTCAGTGTTCTCTGAAAAGCTCCAAACATCTGGTAATTTACCTGTGACTAATCATTTTTCAAAGTATAACTAAACCATCCCTGAACATGAAACCATCATAATCTTGCCACACCTTAGCTCTTGAACAAAGGCAATAACAAAACCTGCCCATTATGGTTAACATAGCCCTATCCCTTTCTGGATCCCCTCATTGAACAGTGACACAGTATTGTGTATACAGAACCATAAAGTCAACAGCTATATTCCACTTGCTACATTCAGGACAAAAGAGTGGGGACGATTGTATGCTCTGTGTGGGTGTGAATGCTGACTATAGCCTGTCACCAAGGATTCGGTGAGAGGGAAATATAGGCAAACATGTTACAAGTGGAACATGTGACCATAAATGGCCTGTAAAGAAGAAAGGCATAATAATCCATAAATTTACACACACAGTCATCCCATTCCTTCAAATTAATAAAGTAATGAGAGTCTGAATAATTCAGATAAAGTATTAGGACCAAATGCACAAATAGTGGGAAGGAATCACAAATAACTCAGTTGCAAAACAAAGCAATGAATGCTCATCAAAAAAGTCAGAATGCTTAAACTTCTTAAATATTTTATTAGAGGAGCTAAATGTAAGCTGACCCTGTATTGAAAGGGAGTAATATCTGGGTCACAGTGAACTTCAAATGTAAACAGTAGGAAGCATGTTTTTGTTCATGTGTCAGTTTGAAGGAATAAGTTAATTTGTGGAGAAATATAAGAATTGTATCCAAGTCAAACATCAGTTTGATGTAATCCACTCCTGCTATTTGTCAACACATGCTTTGGATTTGGGTTTGACCTGCAAAATTTAGGAAACTGCTGCTAAATATATGTCCACCTGGTCAACAACCTCTCGTCAAACAGCACTTCTGCTTGTCTCTGGAAGAACTGCCTGTTGATAGAAAACAGCTTACTTTAACTGCAATAGTTTCCTTTCAGAAGACTGTCATAATAAATTTCTCATTCTTTTAAAAATCAAGACCCAATTTTGAATTTTGTTGAAAGCAAAAAATCTGGTGCACTGAACCTTATCGCACATTTGCACAAAAAAGCAAAGGAGCAACAACATGACAAAATACTTCTGTAGTCACTCTAATTGGTTGGTTTTCATTGGTAGAAGATATAAAAGCAAAAACTGCTATTAATTTATTTTAACATTGGCAGTTCTGGTTGCACATTGTTTTTAATGGCCATAATTACAACCATTGTATTTACTCATATGGACCAAATGGGTACTTGTTTAAAGTTTTGTGTTTAATGAATACTAGATTCCCAAATCTCTCTCCTATCAACATTTTCACTGAAATAATGTCTCTCTTTTACTTTCCAAAAAAAGTGCTTCCCAGATCAAGCATGCTATAAAAAACAAATTAAGTCATACTTTTGACGGTTTGTAATGCATATAATTTCTGTGCAATAAAGGTGGTTTAATGTTTACATAGGCCAATCCTGCTTCCTTACACCAAGTGAAAATGAAACTGGGCTTGGATATTAAGCTGACAGAACAAAAATGGACTTTCCCAAAGCAACCCCTGAACCTTCGGCATAAAGCTCCTCCTGGCTCAGTCCCAATAACCATCAAGCTGTCATCCCATTATTGAAGCAGATCTGAGTAAATGATGACAATTCAGCAGAAAACCCAAGCAATTTATTATTCAGTTTGTACCATTTAGGAACAGAACAGTGAATATTAGCTTTTGGTTAATTGGATGAATTTAAATTTTAATCAATTTTTATCAAATAGCCACTGATTTAAAGCATTTAACTGCAACGCGAGCTGTACGCTTATGGTCCTTGTCCTGGTGAAATGTTTATCTCCATCCCAAACTCAACTGTTTTGCTCTCTCTTCTGTAACAAACCTGTGAGGCCTTCACATAACAACTGGCTTTATATTGAGATAAAATTACACACAGCTTGGCCATTTAATAATTTCCTAAAGGCAACTGGTTGCAGTATATCTTGATTTAATGCTATCAAAGGTGTCCAAAGGAACAACACACTATTTGTTTTTAAATCACAAAAAAAACTATATTAATAACCATCTATCATTTGCTTTATGTTGTTTATTATATTCTAAAACATTCAAGATTTTATTTGCAACAGGACAAAATGTGAAAAGGGTGCAGTCTTCACAGGGGTTAAAATATAACATTTTGTCAAATATTTCACAGCCTCACATAAAACATTTCATAATTAAAGGCTATAAAGATCAGAAGACTTTAAGAGTAAAATAACTAAGTTGAAATACTGGTTTCAAAGCTCGTGATGCAAGCAATGTTCAGAGACTTGAAAACAAAAGAACCACTGCAACTATTCTACTCATTTCAATCATCACCTGGGAATCTCAGCTTCAGGCAAACACAGACAAAAGCCTGTATTCAAACTCTGGCCAGTCCTTCTTCTTCATGTCTAACTTTTTTTTGTCAATAACTGCATTTTGGTTTGTCAAGATACAGGCCACATAAAGGAAAAATGAAACCCAAAGCTTTAGTGATAGAAATATGAAATTACTGTGTAAAGTGTCTTAATTCTGAGGACTAAATTTGTTTCTCCATTAAAAACCAAAGCTGTCAAATGCTGCATAAGCACATGTATTAATCCATGTAAACACTTCACCTGTATAGAGATTTAGGTAATGATCCTAATAATCTCATTACAGTAATGCATTGATGTCCCATTGCCGTTTTTAATAAAATTAAGTATCCACATATAGCTGCTTAAATTGTTGTACACGGCTTCATCCGACCAGAATGCCCTGCTGCCTCAATACAGGTTTCACAGATGGCTGCAAACCTACACCTTCTGATAGTAACATTATTGTTCTTACTAAACCCTATGATTACAGGGTCCCACAACAGGTTTAGTTGCATTCTCTGAAGGTCACAGAAAGGCAGGTGGGAAATGAGAAAAATTGTTTAAAAAGAAGAGAAAACAAACAAAAAGAGTGCAAATAACTTCTGCCAGAAGTCCATCAGAATGACATTTTACATCACAAGAAAAAATCTTAGAAAAGTTAAACAAGAGACAACATCTAAAACAGATCAAGCTTTAAAACATGAGGGAAAATCTCTCATGTTTTATTATAAGGTACTTTTATTAAGTACTTGTATTATAAGGTACTTGTATTAACAAGTACCTTATAATAAAACATGAGAGATTTCCTTCCCACTTCCCAACCTTTCATTGTGTGATAACTGGACTCACAGAAATTCCTTTGGTCTCAGTATGTCTGTGGGAGCTGTGATGCAACAAAGGCAGATCCATTAATAACAGTCCAGAACTCACAGGGCTCAGACATAGATTTGTCCAATAGCAATCAAAACGAGGCTTCTCCGTGTGTGTCTGAATGAGAACTGAGGAAAAAAAAGGCTAAAGGCAGAAGACCCCAGACAGCAAATCCTCACAATCCTACTCTGTTTACCCACTGAGTGCTGATGGGGGGGATAAAGGGCCAGAGATCGCGAGGTCTGTAAACACGGGAGGGGGGATGTGTTTGTACTTAATGTATTGTCATGGGACAAGCTTTGACAAACACAAATTTAGTTCAGAGAAAGTTTCTGTAAGTAGAGATAGAACATCTTGAAAACGAACTGTGTATTTGATGCGAATCTGATAAATCCTGTATTTCATGAACACTGCTTACCTTCACTAAAGGAGAGGAGTTCAGTATATGACATTACATATCAGGAAGTTGTAATAATTTCTCTTTTGCTGTAAGCAGATAACGTGCATCAAAGAGGTTCCTAATATTACAATCAATTGCCAAAGAACACTACCGCTCCTGCAGTGTGAGCACTTTGTTTGTTTTCTGTTTTCATATACACTCCTGAAGCGCAGTGCTGCGTGTGCGTCTGTTGACGAAAGCTGGGAAGTGAACAAATAGTAAATAAACCCATTTTACCTGGAAAACGCGCTCCCATTTAACGCGCTGGAGATGAGGATTCTTCCGCCCATAACAGAGCGCCAGAGAGGAGGACCGTGCAGTGAAGCGACTTTTAGACTCGCTTCACTTCAAACGCAGGCTGGAGAAGACTCCTCGGTCTCTGCAGTTTGTTTGCGAAGCAGTTTTAGCTGCTTTCTTGCCTCGGTTTCGTCCGTGGTTTGAACCTCTCTCCTGAGAGCTGACAAGTCGGTGTGAGCAGAGCGTCGGCGTCAACAGGTGAGGCTGAGCTGTGAAATCACGCGGGGGAAGGTGACGACAGAGGCGGACACAGCCGAGTTAAACGAACAGCCCGACGTTGGAAACATTGTTCTCGAACAGTTTGATGATATAATGTGTATCTACCGCAGATCTATATAAAAAAAAAAAAAATAGAGAAGTCTTTTTTTTTTCTCTTTCTATTTTCTTTTTTAATTATGAACTGAAATGTGGCGTCTATTCTGGGAACTAGCGCGGTTTTGTCAGAGCTGACTCATCTGGGCTTCTTTCCAAAAATTTGTTTGACATTTTCAACGACTTAAAAACTTCCATGGGGTGTTTATACAGTCAGATTAAAGTCGAATCAACTGATAAAGCTAGACATACAGATACACCTCAATAAATTATTAAAAATAATTAATTTAAATGTATATGGTAGATTGACATTTTGTTACTTCAGCTGTAAGAAGTATGTTTCTGGGAGGAAATGAACCGTCTTTAAAAAGAAACTGAAAATCGTGTGAGGGATATACATTTGTAATATTATTTTATTTATTATGCTTGTCAAAAATTCTTGATACCCTGGTCAATAGTCAGTGAGAAAATCAATAATTGCTGAACTATGGTGGCCGACAGGTGCAAACCCGCTGAAAACGCAAGAATGATGCAAACTGCTAGATACACATGCACAAAAACAAATGCAAAAGAAAAACGCTACACATTTGACACATCAAATGAAAAATGCTGAATTTACAAAAACTGAAAGCAAAAACCTACAATCAACAAAACAAAAGCATAAGAAATATGCTGCAACTTCAGAAAACTGCTGCAATCACAAGAAAGAGAAGCAAAATATCAAATTTTGAGGCCCTCTTCAGAAGCTTGAAGAGATGAGAATTGAGAATTTATTTTTGATTATTATAGCTAGCCTGGCTATTGCCTTCTTACACAAATCCACTGGATTCTAATCTCATTTCACAGCAGTGTATGTGCTTTTTTTTTAGCTAGTGTTGGACCAGTGACACATCTAAAATTTGCAGGACACCAGACCCTGACTCCTGTATTTAAATACTCCACATACATGCAACGCATAGATTTTGTAATAATAATGTTTGTTGCAAATAATTCACATTTTCCTTTTCTTTTCAATCATTTCAATTGTATACCTTGTGGCCTGCCTCTACCTGTCCTTTCTCCACTGGGTCTTGGGTCTGGTAGTGACATTAATAAGTCACTACCAGTCCGTCACAGAATAAAACAGTGACACAAAACCAACAACCTTGAACACACGGACAGAAAGGGAATTTAGAATATCCAACTGATCTCATATCCATGTTTTTGGATTGTGAGAAGAAGCTAGAGAGAACCCATGCAGGTAGAGAAAGAATATGCAAATTCCACGCAGAAAGAGCTCAGACCAGGAGTCAAACTCAAGACCTTCTTGCTGTAGGCAACACCAACCTTTCAACAATCAGTCGGTTGTTACAATAAGCAGCAATATTTTAGCTCTTTTTCTAAAGTAATGCAAAACAATCGTTAATACAGAAATGTGTACTAATAGGGGAAAACAATCTGGACATTTGGAACCTATGTTCCTGATATGTCTTCATATGATGGCTCTTAAAACACTGATTCCATCTGCAGTACAAGCCTTGCCAATCTCCCCTAAACTCTTAACTGGGCTTTGCTTTACCAGCCCCTTAACGTTGCAGTCATTCCTGCCACTTGTGGATATTTTTGCAACAAATTTGTTTCCTTCCAACTTCACTTTTCAATGTTCGGTTAATATTGTTAGACATAGTTTTACATGAACAGCCATTTTCTTTAACAATAATCTTTTCTGGGGTTTCCTCTTTGTGGAGGGTGTTGTGAATGACTGCAAGACAGTATAGTCAGTAATCTCTCCTTTGGTTGTGGACACCTTACCCAGCCCAACATTTCTAAATAAAAGTGCCCACTGAGTTTTATTGATATGGATTCCATTTAGTTAAGCCAAGCATGTTACCTACAAGAAGGCTATCATGAGCCTGTAGCCTCAAGCAATAACCATGGGTCTCATGAACAATTTGGAGGATGAATATTATACTTATTCTATTTTTGACTTAAATGATGCAATGGGATCTTAAATGATCTGTTTAGCAATTAAAGTCTCTTTTTTTAGGTATCTAAAACTATGTTATAAACTATATATATAGGCTTTTCATAAGGACCCTTAGGCTTTTCATATCAAGCTGTATATTCAACTCATGAGGTTAAAATACCACTAAGTCTTACATTGCCTTCGAGTACCCCTGAAATGCTGAGAGAATGTTGCATGAATAGTGAAACAGTACACTCTGAAAACTGAATTAACCACACAGATTCTATTCAGGACTATGTATAGACATTTCTTGAAGGCCCCACAGGCAAAATCAGCTCTCTTTACTCTGAGGAGTTTTATCACCCTGACTGGCCTCTTTACAGCTTTTTCTCAATGAGCTGATAGAGCAATAGATTCTTGCCAATGACATGTGGATGGCGTGAGAAAAAAAAAAAGTGCTGCAGGTTCACTGTGGCATGGCTGCAGCGGGACTAAAAAGAGTGATGGCAGATGGGCGACAGACTGGGTAAAGGACAGCTGGTACACTGCATCTCAAAAACAAAATAAGACATGACTGCTTTACACAGAGATGAATAAAACTTCAGCCTGTGAAAAAAACAGTCTCACAGACACCTCTTGTTAAAAAAAAAAAAAAACAACGCAAGTTTCCATCAGCAAATTCAAAGAGACAAAAGGATGTCTAATATTGTTGTTTGTCTCAAATGCAGAGACAGCTGGTGTGCGGTACATGTGTGGGTTTAAGGTATCAACTTGCATGAGCGCAGGAAACACCCACCTATAGATAACCCTTTCTCCAGCCCACATTTTCCTGTAATATTGACTAATTAAAAGTCAGACATAAAGGACATTACACATTCAGGAACATCAAGATGAATTTTATGATTCAGTTCAATGCAGTTTTATTCAGAAAGCAGCTATAAATAATCAGATAAATAAGTGCTAAAAGGACTTCCAATTCCTTTGTAGATAATAAGGCACTGGGTCAACTTATAGCTGACAAGTGTAGTGGAACAATGTACAAGTACATTTAACTGCTACATCTTTCTATACAAAAGTAGATTGTAGTTTCTACCACAGACTTGAAAAAGAAAACCTGCAGTGCTGTGGCATACTTTCAAATAAAAACAACTTCCTTATAGATTGTGAATGCAAATGGTGTAGATTTGTTTTCCTGCTATGCAAAACACCCTGGCTGTTAACAGTCTGCATATTGTGCATGTGTGTTAGGCTAAGGGAGTCCAGAATCTCTGCAAAGGCCTTCTGAAAGAAGTGGGTTGAAGAAGGAAAACATAATTGTTAAACAAAACCTTTGATAATTTAGGGATGTCCTGATACCAGTTTTTCCATACCGAGTACAAGTACTTGAGTTTAGGTGCTTGCCGATTCCATGTGCTGATTCTGTGTACTAGTGTCCAGTATCAGGCCTGATAATAGTATCGGTATCAGACCCTACTGTCATGAATGGTTCGATTTTCTATCAAAGAAACATCCCATATTGTTCTAAAACACAGCTTCACTGAACAATGTAGAAAACATTGGAATTTACCTCAAAGACATACAGTAATAGTTTTACACACACAATTATACAGAATCATTTTCCATTTAAAAAGTGAATTTCATTATTTTTTTCCTTAGACAATTAAAAATAACCCAACTTTAATAGCTGTACATCTAAAACAACAGTTCACCAAACAAATAAAATTGAGACTAAATGAAACAAAGTTTAGTTTTGGTAAACAACTGATTATGGGTCACTTTAGTATTACATTTCTGGACTCATAATGCTCCGCTCTGCTCGGTCCTTACTAGTCTTGCAATCCACAAAGCAGGTTTGCAGGAACTGCAATATCTGCAAAGGAAGAAGAAAATGTGTTTTTAGAAGTCTATTATAGTTCATAATTGTGGTAAACCTCAACAATCTTGGAATAAAATCAGCCATGACGTTATGACCACCCTATTTATTGATAGCTTCCGTATTATGCTGCCAAACGACACATAGCATGACAGCTTCTTGACTTTTTGAGTTTGTCCCAAAAAAGAAGAAAAAAAATAATACAATTAGGTGTCTAATTAAATAACAATTTCCATCCTTAACAACTTCTCATTGCAACTCATTGTAATTAAAGTAACTTGTGTCAATGTATAAATAGCCTTTTTAGCAAAGGTGTGACAGTTCTCTTTAAATATTGCTAAACATATCCTAATTAAAGGCTAAAATGTAATTTGTTACCAGCTTGAATTATCTGTATTTTATTTTAAAATCTGTTTATAATCAGCAAGACAGCTAAAATAGACAAGGTACTTTTTATCTGAAGCAGTTAGATCACAGTTTTTCCCCAAAGAGTTAAGGCAACAGATAAACTGAGATAACTTCCACTAAAAAGTCACAATAAATGTCTTAAGGAACTATTCTATGCTCTGAATTAAAAGTGAAATTAATTTACATAGTGGGCAATCTGTTTGTAAAGTTGAGGAAAAAATAATAAGAATTAGGTCTTACTAAATGAGATACGATATTTCTGTCATATCTCACAGCATTCCCAAAATTATTCTAGTCATTTTCATTGTTAAAATAGGTTTACTTTCTTCACTTTGATGCATTCGTAATGTTACGGCTGACTAATGTCTAACATTTAGATTTAACGGTATGTTTGTAGAGGTTAAAGTACCAATTTTCTTTGGCTTAGGGAGATTAAGGTTGTCCATGATCTTCACAAACTCCTCCAAATTCTTGGTTAGACGGGGATTGTACTTGCGTTCCTCACCAACTGTAGTAACTGTCTGACCTAGCAAACAGAAAAAACTGTTTAGTTACAAAGTAATAACATTGTTGAAAAACTATTTAAAAAGGAATGCACACGAATAATATAATGTATCTCATTAAAAACATTCAAGCATTTCATTGTTGCATGAAGCCTTGAACAGGACATGAATAAAAACATTGTAATGACTTCTGAGTGTTGAAAACTACATTTTTCAATTACTATGCTCTGACCTGAAATAATTTTTTAAGGTCATTTTGTCACCGTCTGTGAGATAGGACGTAGTTTTAAGAAATCAAGCATGTGGGTTTTTAACCAACCTTTGTAGTCATGTGCTGGGTAGAGGAGGCAGTCTTCAGGCAGCTGGAAGACGACCTCGTGGATTGACTTGTAAAGCCTTTCAGGAGAACCTAAGAAGAAGAACAAAGATTAAACTCTAAAGTCTAAAGCTTGTTAAAATATTTAATCAAAGACTTCAAACTGTTGATAAAAAGACAGTTAAAGAAGACTGAATTATTCAAGTGCTATTTTATTCAATGCAATACTGCCCCCATGTGTCCCTTGTGTTTAATCACACGTCTAAGAACTATGGGAAATATGGGAAGAAGACTACTGACTATTGTAAGAGACGCAAGACGTAATTACTCCAATATGGGAAATTTACAGGTAAATACTACTATGGGAGCATTCTGGGAAAGAAGGGTGAAATACGGTATATTCCTGGCCAAAACAGGACATTTGACAGGTATGAGGAACGACCGAGTGCCTACCCTGCTGGAAGTCGGTTCTGCCACAGCCTCTGATGAGCAAAGCGTCCCCAGTGAAAGCCATGCTCTTGTCCCCCAATACCAGGGTTATACACCCATCAGTGTGTCCTGGTGTTTCTCTCACTATTAGACACTGGTGATTAGAGATTTTAAAAAAATAAATAAATAAAGTTAGACAGACACATTTTTTGCTTAAATCTATTTTATCAAATTATTTCAGCAACAATTTTTCACTTTTTACTATGTATTAAGAATAAAATTACAACATACTGATAAGAAAATAGTAATAATAAATTAATTAACGTGAAAAAGAAGTTGTCCTTACATGTTTTCCGAAGGTGATGTTGTCCCCCTCTGACAGCATGATATCTGCTGAGGCACCGCTGTGTTTAGAAATGGCGCTCTTCAGTCCCTGGATTTGCTTCTTCATCAACCCAGTGCTGGTTATGTGGTCTGCATGGCAGTGGGTATTAACTACCATAAACACACACACACATTAGATTTTGTCATTGGAAGTAATTTATTGTCAGTAAGCAAAGTTGGAAATACTTTAATATTTTATTGAAGGGGAAAAGGTCTAACATCTGTGTGGGCTGATGTTCAGCATGGAGACGCCCAATGGCAAACTGCTATTGGGCAATAAATTATCATTCTATTGGCAGAATGATAATCATATCTGTCTTTGTTAAGTAACATTGACTTTGATCTAATACTGACTAGAGATAATCTACTTTTATTATTCTCAAGGAAACATGCAGGTTATGCAAGCAGATTAACTTGATGAAAAAAAAAAAAAAAAACTTTCAAAAGCTATCTTTTGTGATTATGGCTAGACTGATCACCCATCTCATAGAAAGCCATTGTTTGAGAAAGTTATGATCTCAAAAATGTAAATAATTTCCTTCACATGAATCCAACATTTTTACCCTGCTATTAAATACTTCTATTGAGATTTCAAGGGGTTTTCAGCTGTATTGATTATAGAATAACTGCAGCACTACCTTTCCCTGTTTTGCCGCTACAAGCCAGCAACTTGTCAGCTGCTTTTACATGTAAGGAAATACTTAAGTTGCAAATATAACAGAAACAATTGTGGTGTAGAAACTACAGCAGCTTCACTCATCATTCTTATTAAGATAACACTTTAAAAATGATAATTGACAAGCTACAAGCAGTTTGTCTGTAAAGCAGGTGGTTACAGGTTCACAACTTGTATTGCGAGCAAGTTAATGTGAGAAAAACTAAATTGTGTTTTTACTTAAGGTTGATCATGCCTACCAGTCCCAAGCCTGATTCTTTAATTCTCTGAAAAATTTAATTAAGGTTTTCAGTACATCTGTATAATTTAGTTTGCTTTTCATGCAGATCCAGCAACAAGGATGTAAATAAATTGCAGCACAATAAATTAATACATTACAAAACCACATGATGAACCTTTTATGTATGCAGCAGATTAAATGTACTTCAGAAAATTTATTTTTTTTTCTTTCAAATTGATATATTAATGGAAAGCTTTAAAAAAAAATAAAACAATTTAAAAACATTGTTTTGCATTGATGATACATTTGCCATCTATGCTCATTTATTTAGAGGATAGTTCCCATTCCAATATAATGCAATTTAAATGTTTTTGACTTATTTCCCTTACTCTGAGTGTTAACGGTGAATTTGCCAACACATTTATTTCATGTGGAATGGCAAATCAAATCAGTGCTCATAATTACAACAATCACATTGATTTGTATAATCATGTTTTATAAAGTCTACTTGCCTTGCTGTAATTATTGTCATTGTGTAGACAGAAATTCCCTCTGCATAGCAGGCAGTAGACATTTGAGATATGTCTTTCAGAGAAGTATTTTATTAATGTGTTTTCCTTTCTTGGTAAGTGATAATGCTATTTTTCATAGCAAGATGAACAGTAGCGCCTTGTCCTATCTTTTTAATTTCTAGAGAAGAAAGTGATCTGCTACAGCAATTTAGGATTTGTCAAAGATCTAAAGTTTATTATTATTATTATTATTATTATTATTATTATTATTATATTATTATTAATAATAGTTATACACTTAGCAACTAGGTTGATGTATTTTAACAGGGTTTCAAAATATTTAATAAGAGAACACAGATGAGTTTTTGAGGTCATGCCATGACAGAAATTGCATCTCCCAACCCATTTGTGGTTGCAAAGATACCTGCAATTTTTAGATTGAGCCCCAGCTCCTTCACAAACTTCAGATCTCTGTCCAGGGTCTCCTTCACGGGATCAATGATGACCGACTCCTTCGTGTTTTTGTCTGCCAGCAGGTAAGTGTAGGTGGAACTCTCGCTCTCAAACAGCTGAACAGGAAAAAACAAGAGGTCGATATCAACAGTTCACATCTTACAGCTAGTGACACATGCATTATGTTCTTCTCTAGATAGTAATTGGCTTAAATGAAGCCTAAACAAGTTACTTAAACCGGAAGTTTGGAGTTCAGGTTGAAGAAGTAAAGAGACCAAAATATGTGCTTTTAGGTTAGGATTCACTGTGTGACAACTTGTTTCTCTATACCGAAACTACTTGTGGTCAATATGTAGTTATTCATAATAAAGCTTCGGGAGATATATATTTTTTTAAAAAACGGTATTCAAATATCAAATAATGCTATATTGTTTTTCATAGTTGCTATCGTCGTTGAAAGGAGCAAGACATTCAACTGTGACTGTAGAAAACATCCATCTATTTTGCGTCAACTGCAATGTCAAAGTGACACTAATTAAGCTCAGAGCTTTTTAAAAGCTAAAACAGAAAGAATACATTTTAATCAGAATGATTAGTTAGTTAGTTAGTGATTAGTTAGTTAGTGAAAGGACATTTCACCTGAAAAGCATCAAAATCTTGTCTGACAATCACCTTACTGTACTTACAGTAAGCTAAGGCTAACTCGACAACTTCCTGTTGTGAAGTCAATTTCAGAGCTGCAGCACTGTCCGCAAGTTTGACCATAAAAAAATGTTAAAAAGTACACATACTTGTCTGAAGATTGGAGCTTCGGGATTCGCCATCTTGGAGCCGTTTTACTTGGTTTACGCGAAGCAGCTGGACTACAGAGGTAGATACACCCTCTCAGGAAAGTAAACCAATGACTGGAGCTGCGTCTGGTTGTTCCGCTTACATATAGCCTCTCAGCCACGCCCACATTACCTGACAAGAACTAGTCTGAGATACGTGATCTCCAAGGGTGCGTCAGACCAAACACATGCTGCACAACCATCATAAAATTTTTTTTAAAAAAATGCTTTGTCATTATTACTTCACTTTTAATCTTTACAGAGTTGTATTTATTGCTGTGCTTGTAAAGATAGACTATTGATTGAGGATGTTAATAATTATATCTAATACTATTTGAGCTCTTAACTTATGCAACATTACTATTACATTTAAAAATAGCAGCATACTGTGCACTTGCAAGTCTCTAAATATTCTCCAAAAATAGTTTTTATAATCCTGGGGCTGACTCGAGACCAGAACATTTCTTTGTAAACAAAGAATTATTTAGACCATTTTATATTATATAAATCATGTTAGAGGCAATGGTTAGTTTGAAAAGCAAACTTTATTTAGAGAGCACTTTCCCTACAGTATGCAACACAGATACAAAGGCTAAAAACAAAAGGGCTTCATTACAATGAGGCGACAATCAGTGTAGTTGGGAGTATTGAGATCTAAGAACACCAACAGTCAGTTGCAGGTACACTGCACAGAGTGGGTAGAATAATAAAGGAGTAAATTCAAAATATTTTAACTTGACTACCAATCAATGACTTGATTGGTAGTCCAGGTGTTATTATAGAAAAGACAGTGATTCCAAACATAAAATCAAGTTTTATTTTCATACGGGTCTCAGAAACTATTGTAGGTTACAGTTATTGAGTCAAAGGACTGAAAGCAGCACAATCAGAAAATTTTAAAAAATAAAGAATTCAGATTGAAGGTATTGGCCTTCTTTTTTCAGATATAGGTTATCTACACAAGAGCTAAAGGTCATTACAAGGTTCCCTAGATTGTTCTCCAATGAAAACAACTTCTTCATAATCCTGTGACTGGTGGAAGTGTGGGTGATTAAATAATTTATTTTATTAGAAAAAACACCATTGAATAGCCCATGCAAAAGAAGTCACCTGTTCAAGTAAAGCAACATGGCCATGAAATCAAACATTGAAGGCTTTTATTTCCCTTAGTTAAAAATGTTTGGTTCATTCATTCCTTAAATCATATTACAAGTTAAAATATTCTAGATAAAAAACACACACATTGAACACATTAAGCGTAATACAAAAATTGTTAGTTCTTTTACAACCAAAAGCACTGTTACAATATTTTTCCAATCAAATTAGATTTCATTCCATTTTCATTTAAAGCACAGTTATAGTTACATCAGTAGCTGCACTCCAAATAATTACAGATTTTCAAATACATAACTACAAAGAATAATGACAGCACTTTATGGAAAGCTATTGAGGTCAGGTTTGCTTAAACAAATTTTTGTGCAAATTATTCTGTAGCTATGTCACTGACTTTATGATTTTTTTTCTTGTTTCCTTCTTCAAAACATTCAGAGTCAATGGAGTCCACAAACGAGGTTAGCAGGCAATGAAATATCTGCAAAAGAACGAAAAGAAAATTTGTAGTGTTGCAGTTTTCCCACTGAATTGGCATATTGGAACCCGCATTGGAAATTAACAGGTTATGGCTGAAATGTGAAAACAAAATTGGTTTGATACCTATTTTATCTGGCTTTGGGAGATTCAAGTTGTTCATGATCTCCACAAACTCGTCCTTCGACTTTATGAGACGAGGGTTATACTTGCGTTCTTCACCAACCGTGGAAACAGTCTGACCTGATTCACAAAAACACATCCAGTCACATACATGTCACATAATTTGCAAGACACTTTTTGTAGGACTTTTATGGCACAGTTTCAGCTTAGAACCCTACTGATTAACTACAACATAGTGGTACATTTTGGTTAAGTAGACTACATCTCAAAAGTTAATTCCGTAATGCAATGCAAATGTGTAAACCAAATATTATTTACAGGAGATTCATTATATACACCAATATACTTTAAGCCCTGTTTTACTCTTGGTTTTGACTAAGGATTTACAACTAATGAAGAAAGGCTCAAAATCAGTTTTCCAAAACTAACTGTTGGGGATTATTTTCTACCACAGGTTTTCCTTCCACTCAACATTCCAATGATATACTTGGATAAATCTCTCAATTTTTATTTATTTTTTTTATTATTATATCCCGATTTGTTTATTACTCTATTTAATACATTTGTAAAATAATACTATAAAATTATGTGACATTATTTTTAATTCGATATGATTTTAAACATTAGGTGCATGTGTTTCTAACTAACCTAAGTAGTCATGTGCTGGGTAGACGAGGCAGTCATCAGGCAGCGTGAAGATCTTGTCGTGGACTGAATCGTAAAGGCATTTTGCACAGCCTGTAGCAGAGATGTGACAGTTTCAGAAGATTTAGGATACTTCACTAGTGTAAACGTGAGCATTTCAAAATATTCCACGTTGAAGTTCACATAATAGCTTAGAAACTTTACAATCATTCTACCAAGACAGATTCTGAATCCATATTTCAACGGTTCATTAAAAGGCTTTTTTTATACAAGCCGATGAGGTAACTCACTCCTATCATTCAGGTGGAATGATAGAAATTTAAGAAATGTAGGGCATTGTTCTCTGAGGGCTAGAATTGGGAAACTCTATGTCATGATACATCCATAAAAACATACAAGTCATGACATGCCTACCCTGCTGGAAGTCTGTTCTGCCACAGCCTCGGATAAGCAGAGCATCCCCAGTAAAAGCCATGCTTTCATCTGCTGACACGAAGGTTGTGCACCCATCCGTGTGTCCCGGTGTTTCTCTAACAGTCAGGTACTACAGAAGGAAACAACAGTCAGCTCAAAGAGTGTCAGATCTTTTTTTTTTATTTGGCAATTTCAACTGAAATGCTCCTAATTTTACAGTGTGTGAATTACAAATGAAAAAAATAAATAAATGTAAAGCTCTCAAGCTCATTGTTACACCTGATCTCTGAACTACACTAAGATAAAACTGTTAAGAAAAAGTTTTGCGGTTTTATTACATGTTTTCCAAAGTGGATTTTGTCGCCCTCTGACAGCAGGACATCTGCAGAGGCACCGCTGAATTTAGAGATGGCACTCTTCAGTCCTGCAATTCTTTTCTTCATCAACCCAGAGCTGGTTATGTGGTCTGCATGGCAGTGGGTGTTCACTATCAGAAAAAAGGGGAATAAAATACAGGTTAACATATAAAAACGTATGGGTGAAAGTCATTCTGCCCTTTGCATCTGTTTCAGCTCATTTCACACCAGACTTTTTCAGGTACAAAAAAGAAGTTGTCTGCCACTGGGTGTGTAGAGTCAACTACGCTTCAAGCCATACCCACCAAGAGGACGCTTCCTACCTGCTTTGATAACAGGTTATTTTCATAGAGGATTTAAAATAAGCTGCATTAATATTGTTAGTCTACCATGCAGAAGATGGTTAAGACAGAGGGCATAAGGAATCACTCCCCAGCTCTCTTATCAAGATAAGGCTGTTTTAAAACTGTGGTCGGCCCACTACGAGTGGCATATCTTCTAAACAGTGGGCTTTAGCTACTTGCCCAAGCAAGTAGCTTAACTGATTACCCAGCTAATATCAGATTGTTATACCTTTATTACTCTTTAAAGAAAAAAAAAGTAAAAGTGTATAATATTCTGCAGAATAAGCGCTTCAAAACTATTACTAACTTTAGCAGGTCTTCTGTCTATATTTTTTGCTTTGTCTATACATAAAGATCAATATAAGTACATCTTATAGAAAAGAGTAATATATTAGTTTAGCAGAAGAATGAATAAGTATTGCTTTTCTTGTAAATAATAGTGATCCCATTCTATTATTTGTTCAGATTTTTTGCATATAGTTGTGTAAATAAAGTGAAAAATTGCTAGCCTTTCTCAAGGTTATCAAACCATAGCAATCTCATACAGACACATGCCATGTGACCACAACACATAACACCTACCAGCAGGAGTTCTGTGGGAGTTATTACGGTTTGATCAGGTGTAGTAATTGTCATTTTTTAAGAAACTGGGCATCACTTATCAGGAAAATTTTACTAACTCCTAAAAGGTCTATTTGTTTACCAAAAAAAAAACAATACAAATAAGTTGTAATGTTGGTTTTCAGGAAATAAATTATTAATATAAACTGATATTTGACGCTGAATCTTTTTTACAATTATTTACCTCCATAATTCATGAGACTGCTTGACTACATTGATAAATACGCTCATTTGCCATAACTTAAGTTTGCTGGTTCAAAAATAGTATGAGATGGACTAGGAAATGAGGTAATCGGTAAATGGGCATTTTGATCATATTTTGCATGGATTGTAGGGGATAACAGTGTGACCACATAATTTTCAAACAAACATTTTAAATTGAAGTTTCTGCTTATTTACTGAAAGTTAAAAAAAATTACATGCTGTACTGGACAACTGGCTGTGTTTAAAATATTTGAAATTATTAATATGTTCTCTTGTATGTATTTAAACTCAATCAAAATAATTGCTTTTATCAATGGGATGCAACTGGAAATGTCTTAAATAAGCATATTTAAAAATGTACAAGGCCTACACCGACATGGCCAGTTAGGAAAACCAGGACACAGATTTCTAAAATAAGTCTAAACTCTTGGAAAGTGTTTTTGTAGCTCTGCCACAAAAACACACACACATACCTGCTAGTATCAGCTTTAGCCCCAGTTCCTTTACCAGGTTTATGTCTCTGTCAATTGTCTCCAGCACAGGATCAATGATGATGGCCTCTCTGGTGTTCGCGTCTGCCAGCAGGTAGGTATAGGTGCTGCTCTCCACCTCAAACAGCTAAACAGGAAAAACATGTGATAGGTGTTACTCTACAATAATTTCCAATAGACAATAAAGGTCAAGTACTTTGTGTCCTGCTCCTCTTCCTCAAATAATGTTGGTGAGTGTGATGAAGACAAAGGAGAAAACAGATTGTAACGAAAATGTAGTGTGTGAATGTCAACTTTTTTTATTTTTTTTGCACCATCAGTGTTACTATTTTGATGTAAGCATCTCCTTATTTGGGAGAATGACGAAAAATATGTTGAATAATCTTGAAATGCAAATAATTAAACTGTCACTGAGAAAAAAAAGCAACAAAATATTGTCAATAAATTTAGATACTGGCACCGCATTGTAGAATTGTAAAAATAAAGTCTACTTAGCTGTAACGCATAAACTGAAAAGTCATCCTGATGCAGGCATACTGCATCTGTAAACTTCAGTCTAGCTTGACTGGGTTTTAACAAACCACCAAAAATACTAAACTACTAAAGATTTAAACTCTCCATCAAGCTAGATGCTAACCCTCCATGCTTCCCGTTATCTTACATCAAGAATAAAGGTTAAATATTTGAATAACTAACCCAAGCAGAAGTTAATTTACCGTGGACCTACTTGTCTGAAGAGCAGTCCTTTCGTCTTCGCCATGCTGGAGCAGTAGAGCCTGACGTTCCCCTGAAGGACTACGGGAGAATTCTTGCCGGGAAAGAGGCGCCTGCTTTGGGTTGCCGCATAACTCGAGCCCTCGGTGTTGGCTCCGAGACGAAGCGACAGAGCTACAGCCCGATGGATAGGTCTTACTCTGTTTAATACAGGACACATTGTGGTTTTCTGTCTGAACTCGCAGCTAGGTTTGACTGGATAAGCACCAGCTGGCTGAGCGACACCGAAGAACCAGAAGCTGGTAACCGTAAGATTATGAATTTGTCCTTAAAACCGCGGCAGATACAAACAGATCAAAACAAAAACCTGAGCTGAGTCCCGATTGGAAGCGAAGCTATCACTCGCTGCTGTTTCCCTATCACTATACCCAGAATTTAGACTATATAGCAACAAAATCTGGGTTTTCCTCTTTCATCGGCCAACCCTCACAATGGTGTCTCGAAACTGGGTCAAACAAATGTCAGCTGTCTCGCGCGATCTGTTCCCAGGCGAGTTCAGGGGTCACGCAGGCAACATCAGCTACTATAGACTACGTGACAAATGGAGCATACAGCTCCATACCGAAACCAAACTTACTTTGTTGTGATGAATGTGCATATTCGTTCATTCATAATAACTACGCAATCATACGCACACGAACATTAGTTTCCAAAGTCGTTTGGGGAATCTTTATAGGATATCATTCACCTCCCCATATTTTAAAGTTTTAAAGAGACAGTATCATGTATTTTCCAGGGATATAGTTCCATTTTAAAACACAATCAAATAACTATGTTACCTCCAGCTGCTATAAAAGTGACATTAAATATGACTTGAAATAATTTTGACTTAGTAATTTAACAATAAGACCTCTTTAAAAGTTTCTACTCTTTTTGAAACTCCGCCTTCAGGAAGTTATCGCGAGGTGAGAGGAAGGCATATAAAATACAAAAAGATAAATATAAGAAGGAACAATATAATGAGGAGGCAAGAGGAAATGTGGATAAATAGATTGGGGTATTAGGCATACAAGTTTAAAAGTGGTCTAAATATTATAGAAAAACATCCAGCAGAGTGTGTCTGTATGAGATTGCATTTGAAGAAAAAGGAGTGGAACATTTGATAAATTGCAGAAAATACAGGGAATGGAGAGGACAAGGGTTCAAAAGCAATGTTTAATATTTTAGGGAAGCCTCAATCACAAAGTATAATTCAAGCACTTATCACGTATTTATAACACACAAAGTTAGCTGGAAGAATTTAATTATTTAATTAATTAGTTAGCTAATCTTTGTTTGCTTATATGGTTTAGGCTGTAAACTTTTTCTCACTCTGTTTTCTTCTTGTGCTACTTTCAAATCTGCATTATTTATTTCACCTGTTAACTTTATTTTTTCAACTTTACTCCTAGAAGCATCCAGGTGTTTTGTGATAACTGGATGGGGAATGCCAACTGAGATAATGCTACCAACAGCTCAACATTTTGTCTATCCTGCTATTAACTTTTGCTTTTCTTTCACATAGAAAGTAATCCTATAGCTGTTTCTGTTTTGTGTATCTGCTCTGTCTTCTGGAAAGCCCCGTCGGACATGGCAGATGGCCACTCGTACTGAACCTGGTTCTGTAAGGTTTCTTTTAAAGAGGAGATTTTCCACTCTACTGTCGCTTTATGTATGCTCAGTATGAGGGATTGCTACTAGGTGAACAACAAAACACAAGCAATTGCTAAGAGTTTGAAGTTGTAATGGAAACTCAAGGCATGTAATAAACTATTTTAACTGAATTTAAGACAATAAGTGGGGCCCAAATTTTTAGGGCCTTAGTCAACTGTGGCCCAAATTATGGACTTATTATTATGCAAGTTTTAACAAATTGATGTGGAAATAGGAAAAGGTCAGTGATGTCTGAAAGTGTTTTTTTCTTGTTCATCCATTGTCCTATTCCATACTGTGACCATGATCAAATTGGTATTTTTTTTTAATAAATTTATTTATTTAATTATTTAGAATAACCATCTGAATACTTACAGTACTCACAGTTCAGACAAATACTGAATACTGAATATATGGCATTTAATGCCTGATAAAGAAATTGATGTGGGGTCTGAATTTATGTCATTGTTTTTACTATTACTGTAATTACAATCAACATTTTATGTTCTACTGTTTTCCACAGCTAAAACATGCCAGAGATTACAGAAGACAGATAAGTTCTCAATAAAGTATTACTATCTGTTAGCATTACTATCAGCCTAACAACCGCTATGTTAAATGATAACACCAAAAAACATGAGAGACAGATCTATAACATGTTAATCTTTATTGTCAGTTATCTCAGAGAAGAAATGGTTGCTGTCAAGGTCTCCTCTGTAGCTAGTGTGGTGTCCTTCAATATTTCTGATTTAATCTGCAACCAAAGTGCAAACAGAGCAAATTCAACATCACATTTTAATCTGAAGAAAAAAAAAGACCTACCCCAGCTTGTTGAGTCCATGTCAACAAACTGAATCATTTTACTTTTCTTTGATACTTAAAACCTAAGCATTAACTTTAATATATTTAAAACTGAAACGGACAACCTTGTTATAGACAGTATGGTATTTACCTCTGTGACTCCTTCAACCCACTGGAGCAGCTGAGTTACTCTGCTGTAGACGCCTGGTTTATTGGGCCGGGCACAGCCTTCTCCCCAACTCACCACACCTGCTAGTCTCCAGTCCCCATTAGGTGTCTCACACACCAGTGGTCCCCCACTGTCTCCCTTAAAAGAATAGCAAACAAAACAGGACAGAATACATAACTGTTAAAAACTCAAGACCTGGTGATTCATCAGAGTCCTTGTTAAGCTTTGAGAAGAAATTTCTGAAAAGGCTTCTTGCCCAATGCATGTGTGATTTTGATGTGTCTGCTTTGTTTCTCAAGCCCCCTGTCAGTGACAGCAGATGTCCACTCACTCTGAGTTGGGTTCTGCTGAAGGCTTCTTTCTGTTGAAAGGAAGTATTTCCTTTCTATTGTCACCATAAGAATGCTCGCTCTGAGGGACTGCTGCAAAGTTAATGACTTGATGCAAGCAGCTGTCTTGTTGCCATGTTCTCATTCAGTAGGAGGGATTGCTACAACGTTACTGACTCAGTACACGTTGCTGTGTTTCCTTAGACACCAAGTTGGCACAATAAACTGAATTTAACTGCACTTATAATTTGGATCAAATAAAATTTTAATCTGTTTAAATGATTGAATTTTATTTATCATATATGTCTGTATTTAAATTGAATCAGTTTGTTTTATGAAGTGCATTGAGATGCATTTGTTGTGAATTGGTGCTGTATAAACACAGACTGAGAGAGAATTATGTCACTTGGGGTATACCTGGCAAGAGTCGACGCTCCCTGAAAGTCTGCCAGCACAAATCATTCGTGGAGTAATGATGGCCCCATAGATAGCCAAGCTGGAGCAGACAGACTGAGCTATCACATTCACCTGAGCCTCCTGTAGATTTTCTAACACAAACCCTGAAACATTAGTAATAACAAAAACAAAAAAGATTTAAGAAACAACTCCCATATAAGTTATTTAAAATTGCTGGGTGATTACTTTAATCAAAATTTTATAAGCTGAACAGTAGTTGCCTCTCACTTGTTGGTGTACTTCATCACCAGAGGGTAATGAAATATAACTGACAGAATTTTATTAGTCTTTTACTTTTAAAACAATTTGGTTTAGCCTAATGGATATCAGTCTTTGGGAACATTTATGTGTTTTAATTCACCTCCTTCTTGGTAAAATCCCCAGCCTGTGATCCAGCAGGGTGCTCCAGGAGGAAAAGACTCCTTTGGTGTTGGTAAACACACTGGCCGCACTCCACCTACAAAAAAGAGGTACCGACTATCAGATTGCAACATTTTATTATAGGTACATTCTAAGCAGTAAAATGATAAAGTCCACTTAGGTGTAAAGATCACAAAATATTTTTTGTCACATAAAACACAAACTTTTTCTATTGTTTTCTTAATCAGCTTCTTGTATTTTTATTGTATTTTTGTCAAGGTTGACACATAAAAATGTCATAAGTTTTATATAAGAAGTGTATTTGATGGAGTTGATTATTTAAAACTTATAAACATTGCACCAACTACCAAACATGGTGGTAAAACTATCATGCTGAGGGCATAATAAAAAAGAAGAAAGGTTTGCCATAAATATAAAAGACTAAGTGTCCAACCCTAAAATCAACCCTAAACCCTAAAATCATATTCAGCCACTTTCCTTCCAAAGTCTTAACTTCACAACTACACAGTCAGGTAGAATTGGGTTTAAAAATCTGTGGTTTATGTGTCTACCTGTCCAAACAAACCTTGTTGATAGGTTACACTGAAAAGTGTAACCTATTTTATTGAAATAAAATAGGTTACACTTCATACATTTGTGTATGCTTCACCTGTATTTTATTAAAATACCTGTATTTTATTTATTAAAATAAAATACAGGTGAAGCAAGAATTACCACAGGGTCTTATTGATGACTGCGTGTGGTTTTTCTCTTCAGTGAGAAAATCATCAACAACAGCTGAAGTCACTTAGACACATATTTATGAGGAGTATATCTATATATTTGAGCATGTATGTGTAATTTTAACCTGGAATAGATAATGAAAAATCTACAATTAATTTAGACTGCTCTAAATTAATTGCAGAACAAATTTTTGTTTCTACAAATTACTGAAGAAACTCTGTTGTATCGTTAGTCCATTTAAGAAGAAATGACTAAAATAATTAAAACTCAGTATTTAATATGATATTCAAATGGCATGTGTGTAAACTTCTAATTGGAATAGCAACTTTATAAACAACAGCCTCATGATGAATCCAACAAAGAAAAAGGTGTGTAAAAATATGCATGAGTCCTCAGAGCTAATTTAACCTTCCTGTATTTCTAAAATGATGCATTGTTAATTATCAGCTGATAAATTAAATTCCTATGGTGAGTTAAGCGCTTGTTCATGTAACAAAACGTCATAAGATACTTCAGCTGTGTAATTAATCGTTTTAAGGACGTTTTAAAATCTGCCAGTAGATGGAGCTATTTCTTTGTTACCAGTCATGTCAATGTCAGTGATGGTGCGCAGCAGCCCCACATCATAGTCATTGTTGTTCTTGTTGAACTGAGGGTGGTAGTGAATCAGCTGAGCTCTGTGGCGTTTCCCCATGGAGCTGTGTGCGATGCTCACTGTGCCCACGACTACCAACCAGTCTGCTGCTTGAAACATGTTGTTTCTGCAAAGAAGAGAAATAATCTGCGGGTTGACTTCAAGCTCAGGTAACAATACAGACTCCATAAATTTCTCAATAGGTCTGAGACTGAGGCATTTGAAGTCCAAAAGTAGGGTTAGATTTAGGATTTTATTTGACAACATTCTCTAAAGTCCAACCCTAAAATCATATTCAGCCACTTGCCTTCTGATTCAAACTGTGTGTGATTTAAAAAGAATAAAACAAGTATAAGTACCAGTTTGACTTTACAGACAAGTTTTTAGAACTAAAACAAAAATAATATGAAGTTATATGTTGATTGATTCAATGTAATCACATCAATTCCATTATTACAATCAAATGTTCCTTGGTCACTAATTTTTTGATTAACGTC